TTATAGTATTCCTGGGGGCAGCTAGGTGGTGCAGCGGAAAGAGAACCAGCCCTAAAGTCAGGAGGACCTCAGTTCAAATCCAGCCTTAGACCAAACACTTGCCACTTACTAGCTGTGTGACCCTGGGCAAGTCACGTAACCCCAATTGCCTAAAAATTACAAACAAAGAAACAAACAGAAATTTATAGTATTCCTAATATTAAACCAATACTAAAATCATGGACTTAATCCATCTTGCTCATAACTTATAATCTTTGTTTTAGGTTATTTTAACATTTTTGCTAAGATTTAAAAAATTTTTGCATCACTATTCATTAGGAATGTTGATCTAAGGGTTTCTTCTGGTTTAGACTTTTCTTATGCATCTTCCATCTCCTTCTCCCCATCTGTCTCTCACTCTCTCCTTCTTTAAGCAAGTGTTTCAAGACATACATTTTCTCTTAAGGGTTCCTTTGGCTGCATCCTAAAATTTTTTGGGTATTTTCTATTAATATTGTCTTTTTAGTAAAATCATTTATCATTTCTAAAAGTTATTCCTTGACCAATTCTTTAGAATTTAATTACTCAATCTCCAATGGACTTTTAATTCTTTTTTCATAGGCTCTTTCTTGTTGTTGTTAAAGGCTGTATATAATAATTCTGGTTTTTTGAATCTGTGAGGGTTTTATGTCCCAGTGTATTGTTAATTTTAGTTATGGCTTCATACACAAGTTAGAAATGTGTGTACTCTTTTAGATAACCATTCAATAATCAGAAGTAGTGTGTCTAAAATTAGATTCAGATGACAACTTCTTTTTTATTTATTTTGGTTAGATTTACCTAGGGCTAAAAACATTATATTGGGGTAACCCATTATTATATTTTTATCGTCCATTTCTCTTAATTTTTCCTTTAAGTCTTTAGAGGTAATATCATTTAGTTCATATATTTTAAGTATTGAAATTCATTCATTATCTGTGTTACCTGTCTGAAAAATGTAGCTCCTCCACTTATCTCTTTTAATTAAGCCTATTTTTGTTCGTGCCTTGTCTGAAATCACAATCACTATACCTATTTGGTTTTTTTTTTAACTTTCAGCTGAGGCATCATAGGTTTTGCTCCAGACCCTTATTTTAACTACACAGGAGTCTTTATGTTTCAGAAGTTTTTTGTAAAAAACAAAACAAAACAAAAGAAAACACCACATATTGTTGGATTTTTCTTTGTAATCACCTCTGCTATTTAATGCCTTTTTATGTGTGAGTTTTTCTCATTCACATTCATTGTAATGATAATTAATTGTGCATTTCTCGGTATTCTATTTTCTCATGCATTTCCTTCTCTATATTCCTCACTCCCTGTTTATTAAACGCTCTTATTCTTTCTTTCCTTTTAATTTCTTCTCTATCCTCTCGAGAAACTTAGAATTTGGTTTGATTATGACAATCCCTCCCTGAATGTATTCTTCTTCTTTTCCCCTGTCTTGTCTTCCTGTTCCTATCTGCATCCTGTTTAGTTGAATGCAGTCCTACACCAAACTTTCTGTGTATAATCATGTGTTTTCTTTACTTTTGTAAGTAGTTCAGATAAAACTGAAGCTCAACTGATGTCTGATCCCTTTATTGCTTCCATCTTTGTTCATATTTTTACGTGTGTACCCCAAAAATGGGAGATCCTTTGCATCTGTCCTCCATTTATTTCTAATATACTTTTTCCCCTTCTGTTTTTAATCTTCTTTGAACAACATCAGAACATAACCGAGAAGTCTTTTCTCATTGGAGCCCCTTATGACATTAGGATTTCTAAACCCTCCTTTAATCAGCTCTCCTATTAGAATGTAAACGTTTCTTTGATACCAAGTTATTTCTGATTGTTAACTTGCATTTACCTTTCCATTTTTCTCTTCAAGATCTTATATTAATTCCAAATTTCCTTTCCATTTCAATTTTCTCATCAGAAATGTTTGAAAGTCATTGATGATGTAGAAGGTACATTATTTTTTTCCTTGTAGAAATAAACAGAGTATTTCCACTGAAGTTATTACTCATTAGGGACATTAATCTTTTGCCTTTGAGATGTCTAGGTTCCTTGAAAGTGATGGCGGGTAAAATGTGGGCAGTCCTGATTGTGGCTTCTCCATATTTGACCTACTTCTTTCTGGTTGCTTGCTATAGAGCAACTTTAATTATTTGTAGAAATGAGATACCCAGTTCCTTCTTTTGGTCTTGTATTTCAGGTTGTGCAATGATTTTTAAGTTATCTGCCCTCAGTCTTTTTTCCAGGTTAGTAGTTCTTGATTAGACATACATTTTATTTTCTTCTAATTTCCTCAGTCTTTTGACTTTGTTTTAATAATACTAGCAATGGCTTTCCCTTATATAGCATTTACTATAGGGCAGGGACTGTGCTAACCACTTTACCAATATTATCTGATTTGATCCTCACAACAACCTTTGTAGGTTGATATTGTTATGATCCGCATTTTACAGTTGATAAACCTAAGGAAAATAGAAGTTAAGTGACTTGCCCAGGGTCACACAGCAGGTAAGTATCTGAGGCTGGATTTGAACTCAGATCTTCCTGAATCCAGGCCTAGTCTTCTATACACTCCACAACCCAGCTGTCTAATTAATTTTGTCTTTGGAAGTCATGAACTTCAGTTTGCTCAAATTTTTAGTATTTTTCAGATAACTTTCAGATTAGTCACTGGTATGTGTGGGCATGTGTAGGCTTATAGACACATACATAATATATACATACACACCTATATATGTGTTTGTGCTCTCACACACACACACACATATACATCTAAATTTATATACCCTTCAGTCTCTCCCTAATAGGCTAAGATAGAAACCCTGGGAAAATAGGCTTTGGTCTTTGCCTTAGTATTTTCTGCTTTGCTTTAGGTGGATAAATTACAGGTTCACACACTGTGAGTTTGAAATGTCTGGAGAGCAAGTCTCTGAGAGTCTGGGCCTTGACCCACAACAGGTTTTGTGGATAGCCCAGATCACCTACTGTACCCAGACCAGCATCCACTGACAGGAAGACTTATCTGCCAACAATGTTATTGTGGGATGTGAAGTTTCTGGAAAACGTGTCTCCAGGAATCAAAGTGGTGTTGGGGACAGTCCGTCTCCAAATATTAGGGGTGGTAATATTTGTACTTGTATTCTTCTGTATCTGCCAAGTGAATGTCTGTTTGTAAAAGCTGATTGGGTAGCTACATGGCTCAGTGGATAGAGTGTAGTGCCTGGAGTCAGGACTCCTCTTCATGAGTTCAAATCTTTCCTCTGATACTTACTAGATGTGTGACCCTGGGCAAGTCACTTAATGCTGTTGGCCTCAATATCTTCATCTGTGAAATGAGCTGAAGAAGGAAACGGCAAAATATTTTAGTATCTTTGCCAAGAAAACCCAAAAGAAGGTCATGAAGACTTGGACACTACTGAAAAGTGACTGAATAACAACAACATGAAAGGAGCTGAGGGCTTGGAATATAATATTCCAGAGATCAAAGGAGCTAGGATTACAACCAGAATCAACTACCCAGCAAAACTGAGTATTATCCTTCAGGGGGGAAAATGGATATTCAGTGAAATAGAGGCCTTTCAAGCATTCTTGATGAAAAGACCAGAGCTGAATAGAAAATTTGACTTTCAAACATAAGACACAAGAGGAGCATAATAAGGTGAACAGGAAAGGGAAATCATAAGGGAATGAATAAGTTTAAGGTATTTATATTCCTACATGGAAAGATGCCATTTATAACTTATAACACCTTTCTCACTGTTACAGTAGTTAGAAGGAGTGTAGATAGAGGGAGGGCACAGGTATGAGTCTGAAACACTTAGGATAATGGGTGCTGTCCATCCCCAGAGATGGGACTGGTTGTGTCCTAATGGAAATTGAAGCAGACTTTTTTTTTTTGAGTTTTTTTTTAACTGTGTTTTCTTTCACAACATGACTGTTATGGATGTGTTTCGCATGACCACACATGTATAGAATTGTGTGCCTTCTCAATGGGGGAGGGGGGAAGGAGGAAGGGAAAGAATTTGAAACTCAAAGTATTGAAAACAAATATTGAACATTATTTTTACACGTAACTGGGGGAAATTTAAATACTAAATAAAATTTTAAAAAGGTAAAAAGGAATAGGTAAAAGAACAAATCATAGAAATAGTTGATAATTTCATTAAAGAGCATGACAATAGTGAGACAAAATTCCAAAATTTGTGGCATGCAGACAAAGCAATACTTAGGGGAAAATTTAAATCTGCAAACAGGCACATCAATAAAAGGGAGAAAGAGCAAATCAATGAATGGGGCCTGCAACTTAAAAAAAAAACTAGGGAAAGAACATAGTTTAAATCCCATATTAAACACAAAATGGAAATCTTGAAAATCACATCAGCAATTAACAAAATTAAAAGTAAAAAAAAAATTGAACTTATAGAAGTAGGAGCTGGTTTCATGAAGAAACCAATAAAATAGATAACCACTGGGTAATTTGATTAAGAAAAAAGACAGAGGAAAACCAATTTACCAGTATGAAAAATGAAAAGGAGAATGCACCACCAGTGAGGATGAAATTAAAGCAATGTTTTGGAGTAATTTTGCTCAGTTATATGCCAGTAAAACTAATAATCTATGTGAAATGTGTAAATATTTATAAAATTTCCCAGATTAACAGAAGAAGAAATAAAATGCTTAAATAACCCTATCTTAGAAAAAGGGGAAGCAGTGTTCAGTGGGGCAGGAAGTGTGGGTTACACCCCAGTAGGGAAGGGTTTGTAAACCTAAACAGTGTTGTATATGTTTTACCTAAAGGGCAGTAAGGATAGTCACCAGAGCTGTCCACAGAGGTTGTTGCTTGTTTTTGTGTTTTTTTTTCCCGAGTGTCCTGGATTATGATATGGACCCTTTGCCTAGCTTTGGTAATGTTTATGCAGGATGTAAATGCCAAGGTAGGATGAGCTTTGTAAGAAGATGAAGTGAGGTTACTCTTGACCAGAGAGCACAGAGGAAGCAGCTGAGCTGCCTGGGGAGGTTTTTATTCAGGGCTGGAGCACTGTGGGAGGATAGCTTTTATAATGCTGACAGTAATAAACTCCAGCATCTTCAGTCTCCACACCGCTGATGGTGAGAGTGTAATCTGTGCCAGACCCACTGCCGCTGAACCGGGATGGGACCCCAGACTGCAGGCTGGAAGTGTAATAGATGAGTCCCTTTGGAGACTGACCGGGTTTCTGTTGGTGCCATTTTAAATACTTGCTAATGTCTTGACTGGCCGTGCAGGAGATGGTGACTGTGTCTCCTGGAGTCACAGACAGGGAAGTTGGAGATTGGGTTATCACAATCTGTCCATTGGCATCTATAATGAAAAAGAAAACTCAGATGTCACCAACTGTTGACTAGATTTTTCATCATAAGGCTTTAAAATAGAAGCAGCTAAACTAAATTTACTGGGATAGACATATCATACTCTGAAAAATGAGAATATTTCAAAACTCCAGACACAGGTTCTGAATTATCTAAAAGGAGCCCGAAAGCATGTGAAGCATCCCATGGCAGCCCCATGTTTCTCCATTCTTACCTGGAAGCCCAAGCAGGAGGAGGCAGAAGAAGTGAGCTGGGGACACCATCTTCATACTGTGCTCTGTCCAGGGCTGATCCCTGAGCAACAGAATGACAAGACCTTTTGATAAAGGTCCTGAGCAGTAGGAATAGGTTGGGGGTAGAGATAGAAGAGAGTATGCAAAGCAGCCTGGCCCTTTATAGGGGAAAGGAGGATGATCTGGGGTTCCAGGTGCAGAACTAGTTTGTCTCCAGGGCTGACCACATAGTTAATATTTAATACTTCTCTTGCATTTTCCTTGAGAAAACAGACCTGTCCTCACAAGTTCCTCCTCCTCAGTTACACATTTCAAATCACCTTAGAGTCCTTTCCTATCCCTGCCTTCATGCCAGTCTTAGAGCATATGGTGTCCCTTCTCTAGATCAGTTCCAGCCTTGGCTTACGCCCTTAATTTATGCCCTTTCATAAATTCTAGCAGCCTGAACCTTTAATTTCACTGTTTGTTAAAACAAACAAAACCTTGCCCTTGACTCTAGCATCTCCTCAGACTCTCATTCTATAGTTCACCTTCAGTTTGGAGACTGCTGGAAAAAGCTGTCTGTATTTACTTTGTCCACTTTTCTCACCTTCCACTGGCTTCTTGTCTCCTTTCAGTCTGGCTTGTGATCGTATCTCCCTACCAGAACCTCTTTCTCCAATATCAGCAAAAATCGATCTCGTGTAAAAACGGATCGCCTGAACACTTCCTGATGCCCTCTGTAGTATCTGATGCTCTTGACTCTTCTGCCCACACCATCCTTCTTTCTCCTCCCTCGGTTTTCTTAACACTGTTATGTCATGGTTCCCTCTCTTGTTCTTGCCTCACTGATGGAACTTCTCAGCATCCTATGAAGTATCATAATTCATACCCTCCCACCCTTTCCACCTCCATCCTCACACCCACACCATCCATGGATGTCTCCCAAGGCTCTGTTCTGTCCTCCTCATCTATCTCGTGTAATTGACAAGTTTTGTCGACTCTGTTACCTTAATGTTTGCCATAAGTCTTCCTTTCTCTCTATTTACATAACAAGCGGCTTTTCCAAGTCCTCATCACCCCTTGCCTCTTCTATTGCAATACCTTTGTCTAGGCAGCCAGGTGGTTCAGTGGGCAGAGCACAGGTCTTGGTTTCAGGCACATCTAGCTCAAATCCTACCTCAGACGCTTATTAGCTGTGTAACTCTGGGAAAGTCACTTAACCCCCCTCAGCCTCAGTTTCCCCTTGTATAAAATGGGGGTTAATAGAACCTGCCTCCTAAAGTTTGTCATCAGAATAAAACGAGATAATATTTGTAAATGCTTCGCAAACTTTAAAGTGCTATGTAAGTGCTAGCTTATTATTTCTACCTCAGGCACTTACTAGCTGTGTAACTCTGGGAAAGTCACTTAACCTTGTTTGCCTCAGTTTCCTCATCTGTAAAATGATAATAATAATAGTATCCCCCTCCCAGGGTTGTTGTGAGTACCAAAGTAAAGAACAGATGAATAGCATTTTGCAAACCTAAAAACACTATATAAATGGTAGTTATCAGTATCATAATACTGATTTATGAAATTGACACCCATTGAATTTCTTTGTGTGGTCCTTCACTGACTTATAGTGAAGATATTCCACTATGCTTGAAAAATCTGCATTGCGAGGATGAGTTTGAACAAGATCAACTTATTCTTCAGCTGGAAATGACAAAAAAGATAAAAAGGAATGGAGGGATCCTGGAAGTGGAAATGAATCCGGCCAAATGCCCATCGTTTAACGGCTGTGTTCCTCCTAATAATGCTACATGGTTCTGAATAAAATCACTGGTACCATCAATTAAGCGAGGAGAGAAAGCTAGGGCAGGAGTGAGGAGGCTGCAGCCTCGAGGCCACATGTGGCTTCTAGGTCTCTGGGTGCAGCCTTTTGACTGAGTCCAAGTTTTACAGAACAAATCCTTTTGTAAAGGGGATTTGTTCTGTGAAGTTTGGATTCAGTCAAAGGGCTACACTTGAGGACTTAGAGGGCCATATGTGGCCTTAAGCCCCAAGTTCCCCATCCCTGATGTAGGGGTTAAGTGCTTGCTGGTTGATTGTCAGGAATGGAAAATGTTATAGAGAGGTCAAAAAATAAAAGAGGCCATTGAATTTTGCATCAATGCAGGCTGTGAAATGAAAGGGTGGAAATTATGCAATATAATCTCTGCAACCTGAAAATTTTAGTATTTATCAGTTACCCTCCCAAAAAACCAAACAGATTTCTAGAATTATATAACCAGAGTTCTCTATCCTTTGTAAACTAACAAGAAATCTCCACATGACATATACAAAAGCCAAAATATTCCTAAAGATTCAACAAGTAATCTGTATTAAAACAAGACCACCGTTACAGACAAAAATTTTGCCCACAGTGCCCCAAGACATAACCTTGATCCATAAGTAAAGACTCAGGGGCAGAGGCACCCTCTCCCACTAAGCAGCCCCAGCTCTGTAGTCTGTGGACTAGGTTCATTTGGGGTGTGGCAGGGGAATCCTGGCCCCATAAAGAGAAGTTGAAGTTTTCCCAGGCTCTCTGAATCATTGTTTTCCCCTCTCAGAGCCCCCGGGGAAAGCTGTTGAAGCCTAGATTGGAGAAGGAAAGACTTATTCCCCATTCCCAGTTCAGCTGATGTAATCTTGGAATTCTAATTAGAGATAACAAGTATTAATTGCTAACAACATGTTAACACTGCGTTCCTTTTATGAAAGGTCAACATCTTCCCCAGATTGCATCAGAAGTATAGGAAAATCACTGGCTGGCCTAAACATTTGCCTAGTCTCCTGCAGGCTTTAACTAAGCCCTAAGAGATATCTAGATGAATCTAAGAGTGAGCCGGCCGTCAAGAAAAAGTTCATACCTTCAGGTACTGGCAAGGAAGAGAGAGTTCTCTCTTTCACCACCATTACTTGCTGTGGCAGCTATCATCAAAGGTACTTGCCCAGAAGGAAGTACCTCATCCAGAAGCTGTGAAGGCAGAGTTGAAGGAGCAGAGACACGTCCTAGACAGGTGAAGATATAGAGAGGCAGTCACTAATGGTGGGAAGAAGTTTGAAGGAGTGAGACCTAAGGAAGAGAGTCAATCATGGACTCTATTTAGGAAGTACTAGTCTTGATGGTAAAGAATGTAGTAACTGAGAGACGCAGAGGCTAAGGACCCCGCTGAGCAACTCACCCAGCAGAGACAATGCATACAGGAGAGAGTTTTGTGAGGAATTCACTAGGAAAGACTGGACTTCCAGTTCTAGCGGTATTGGAGGAGTGAGTAACCTTGGCCACGTTTTCCCCTACATGTGCACCTCACCACTGTTGTGGTCATAAGTTTCTGCTCTCTCTTTCCACTGATGCTGTGTGTATTGGTGGGAGAGTGTGCTCAGATTTATAAGAAGAATGTTTTGTAGCCATTGTTTTTCAATTTCATCTTAGTAAATGCCATTTGTGTCTACTGGCATGACTGTCAAAGAGAAGTTCACTACTGTAGGCTCATGAGCTAGAGTTTTAGGATTAGCCTGTACTCCAGGACATAAAAGAAGTAGACACCCTCTGAAGGATCCAACCTGCCATTCCAAATGCAGGTTGGTGAAGCAGCCTCAAGGAGGTGCTACATAGGTTTGCATCATGTCTAGGTTTTCCTCAGAAAGCATCTTTAAGGTTCCTTCTACATGGAATGGTATTGAATGAACAAATAAATCAGGTATAGGGCAGCTATTTATTTCCTCTGCCATAAAATGACATAATTAAAATACAGAAGACTCATAAATGTGCAATGTTAAACATATAAAACATGATCCAGGAACATATCAGATGATATACTTTCCTAGAAGGTTAATATTTAAAACATACTGTGTAGAGCTTCTTAAACTATAGGTCATGAAAAATTTGGCAACAGTAAAAGGTTTCTGAATGTGCAATGACCAAAAATGAATTAAAAATCAAACACATAGTGAATCTGAGGTGTTTCTGGCAGCATGTTGCATTGCACAACTTCACGACATCCTTGGTTCTGAACACAAAGCATGCACACTTTGCACTGTGCACGCCCTCAGGCCATGCAACATGAGTGAACGCTGCTGAATCACGAAATGCAGCCTCAAGTGGGAAAAGCTGAAGAAGCTCTGAGTTGTAGCACACTTGGAGGAGTAACTAAGTAGGCTTTTCCCCCTTCACCTCAGAGCTGAAAATTTTATCCAAAGTTCCTATCTTCTGACCATCCACGGTATGTCTTGGGCTCACACTCTTGGCAGTGCTCCGCTGCTCTGAGAAGTGGTTTCAGAGATCATCTCTTGCTGAGCAGCCACACTCCTACCCAGGGGCTCCTCCTCCCTCAGACTCATGAGTTGGCCACCAAGGCTAGAGTTACTCATCACAGAATTGCCGTTTGTTCACCTCTGCTCAGAGGAAGAAACACAAAGCACAAGATGAAAGCAGCCAAGAACTTGAGGACCACACTTGAGACCCATCTAAGTAAGCACATGTGCTCCTTTGCATGTGTGTGACCTTATAGCTGGGGGTGAGGAGGGAGAGAGAGGAGAAAGTGGAAGTCACCTCTCCTTGCTTCAAAAGGAGTCCAAGGAAGAGCTGTTACAGTCTCAAGGCACACCTCGAATACATGGGAAGAGAGAGTCACGGCAAAAGCGGTTTTTCTTCTAAGCCTACTGAATGGGCTCTTCCTTCTCAGTGGTCAGTCTTCTTTGGCATAGCCCCTTACCTTGCTGCCAATGCAGGAAACAAGGGACTAAACAGGAGCTTCTGGGGTCACGTGGGGCAGCTATGTGGCAGAGTGGAGCACTGGGCTGGGACTCAGGGAAGATTCAGCTTTCTGAGTTCCAGCCCAGCTTCAGATCCTGGGCAAGTCACTTAACCCTGTTTGCCTTGGTTCCTCATTGGTAAAATGAGCTGGAAATGGCAAAGCACTCCAGTATCTTTGCAAAAGAAAACCACAAATAGGGTCACAAAGAGTCAGACACAGCTGAAAAAAAAGACTAAATCTGATGTCACATGCGCTTTAGCAAAAGAGCATGACTCATGAGTCATCAGAAGTGGTTTAACTACATGCTTAGCTTTAACAAGAAACAGCCAGTCACATGATCACCCCATGGAAAGTTCTCCAGTCCAGTAGACCTGAGAAGCTCCCTCAATTACTTTCCTTACACATAAAAATTTAAGAAAAAAAATTAATAGTGTTGCTATACCCAACACACATAAACTCCAAACTACATAGAATAAAAAGGTTTTGCATTATGAAGTCCTAGAGAAATAAATGAAAACTACGTAGGAACAGGACAAGGTATATGGCATCCTTGTCATCCCATCTGCTGCTGGAATGATCCCAAAGATGATTTCAGTGACTTTCTGAAAGATAAGCTTATATCCTAATACTCTTCTTAATTTACAAAAACCAGCCATTTTATCCATTTGTACAATAGTCCGCAGAACATTAAAAATTAAGAAAAATAGCAGGACAACAACTCCCTTTGGTCCATTCCTATCTGAACCCCACCACAAAAGAAGAAAAGAGTGAGGTAATAGCAAAATAACAATCATTCCTATTTCTATAGTTCCTCAAGGCTTAAAAAGCACTTTCCTCATAACAACCCTGTGAGGGAACCCACAAGATTATTACTGCCACTTATAGTTGAGGAAATTATGACTCAGAGAGAGGGACATGGAGAGAGTAAGTAATTATCAAAATCAGTAATCAAACCTGGGTCCCACCTTGACTCTGACGTGAGCATGTTTACCAACCACACACCTTGCTGCCTCCCTGGGGTACACAGATGTCTCCAGATACTTGAAGTGTTATCAGAAGAGGCATTTAATTTGCCCTTCCTGGCCCCAGAGGAAAAGTCCAGAAGCACTGGGGGTAGAGAGAATGGAGAAAAGAAGATAGGTTGATAAGAAGAGGGAGTGAGAAATGATGTGCAGAGGGAAGTCAGAAATTGTAAAAGACAAAAAAGAGAGAGAGAGAGAGAGAAATCTGGAGAGAATTGCAATGAGGGGTGTTATGAAGTAATCCAATGGTGTTTAGAAGCACCAAAAGAACATCGATGAAACAAAGTGTCTGGAGGCTCTTTGAGAAAATATACTACCAAGAAAAAATTCAACAATGTTTTTGAAAAATAGGATAGAAACAGTCATAAGAAAAATCCCACCTCCTTCAAGAAGCCTTTTCTAGTCACCCTTAATGCTATTGCCTTTCATCTGTTGATTACTTTCCATTTAGTTGTATAAGTGTTGTATCCCCCACTTGACTGTGAGGTCTTTCTGAACAGGGATTGGTGGTAGTGGTAGTGATGGTTGTGGTGGTAGTAGTAGTACTAATAGTAGTGGTAGTAGTAGTAGTAGTAGTAGTAGCAGTACTAGTAGTGGTAGTGATGATGGAGAAAGAAGAAAGAAGAGGAGGAGGAGAAGAAAAAAAGAAGTTGTTACAGTGATTGTAGTAGTGGTAGGAGTGGTACTAGTGGTGGTAGTAGTGGTAGCAGTAGTGGGAGGGGTGGTAGTAGTGGTGGTGGTAGTAGTAGTATTAGTGGTAGAAGAACTGGAGGAGGAGGAGAGAAACTAGATAGACATAGATAGATAGATAGATAGATAGATAGATAGATAGATAGATAGATAGATATAATAGATAGATAGATAGATCGATGATAGATGGATAGAATGATGATGGTAATAGTAGTAGAAGTGGTAATTGTTGCTGTTGTTTTAGTTGTAGTAGTAGTAGTGGGGGAGAAGTACTAGTAGTAGTAGCAGCAGCAGCAAACACTTCTATAACCCTTTAAGGTTTCCAGAGTGCTTTACACATGTTAACTCATTGATCCTCACAATGACCCAGTGAGGCAGGTGCTATTATACCCACTTTACAGAGGGGGAAACTGAGTCTGGTAAAGGACATGATTTGCCCAGAATCGCACAGCTAGGGTCTGAAGCAAAACTTGAATTCAGGTTCTCTAAGTTCAGTCCTCTAACCACCACTCTACCTAGGTGCCTTCTTTCTGTCTTTCTTTGTATCCTTAGCACTTATCTGTTTCTGGCACATAGTAGAGACTTAATAAATGCCTGTTAGTTTCCATAGGCAGAATCCAAAAGACATACAGGCTACAGGGAAATCAGAGTAGGGCTCCGTAATAGCCTTTAGGTAGCATTTTAAGGTTTGCAAAGCACTTTACAAATCTTATTTCATTTGATCCCCACAACAACCCTGGGAAGTAAAGTGTTATTATTAATCCCCATTTTACAGATGAGGAAACTGAAGCAGAGAGAGATTAAACATTTTGCCTGGGGCCACACACCTAGTAAATGTCCAAGGCCAGATTTGAACTCGTGTCTTCCTGACTCCAGGTTCAGGCAAAAATCTGACTGTTCAAGCTGGAACCTACTACCTGATGAATTGACGATGGGAGCAATAGACCCAATAAACCCAGAAAAAGGCTCTGGAAATGACTGCCAAATGACAGTCTATGGAAATTGGAATTTCCCGGAGAAAAGGGTTTCTCATCTACATGAGTTTTGTCACACAGGAACACTGAGGATTCTCTTTGTAATAATGACAACACACTGATTTTGTTTTTACCAACTTCAACTTGTCCTTTTGCTTCACCTGTCTATAAAACTCAGTCAAAATCCAAACATATTTTCTAAAACTCTCTTAATTTTCAGCATTTCCCCAAAACATTTCATGTAATCAATACATCACTGCTTGATGCATTTTCCCAAGATCATTACAAATTTCCACATTAGTCTAATCTGTTAGTCTCGACCCGTTGTTTTCGATTTCCAGATGAGTAAAACACCTAGAAATGTGATTACCAACTGGTAACACATATGACCCCCATTTAACGTTGTACAAATATTCAAGTGAATATTTACCATACAAATTCCACGTCAGCATTTCTGTGATTACTCTGAGTTATAGATATCTTTTGTATTCTGTAGCATTTTTTTCTTTTAGTAGGACTAAGGAAAAATTAAGTAATAAAACATAAACTTCAGAGTATAATTCTGG